CACGTGGCTCCTGACTGCTTCAGTTCCACGTCTGGGTTCTGCTCAGACTCCTGCTGTGGTCCGTTTGGAAGACGACCAGAACTCTGGGAGGAAAAGTCCGATTGAAGGCAGAGCTGCTGGTTCTGAGCCAGAGGCCTCATCGGGTCGGGTCCGATTTTACAGCAGCTCGAAACAAAAACAAACTAAACCTGAAATCATGGAGGCACTCTGGACCCGGCCGGACCTCCTCCTCCTCCTCTTCATCTTTCTCCTCCACCTCTTGTTCCTCCTCCTCCACGTCTTGTTCCTCCTCCCTCCACCTCCTCCTCTTGTTCCTCCACCTCTTGTTCCTTCTCCTCCATCTCCTCTTCCTCCTTTCTCCACCTCCTCCTCCTCCTCCCTCCACCTCACCCCCCCACACACATTCTTGTGGCAGCAGATCTGCAGGACGTGAGACGTTCAGCTGAACGAGACGGTGCCTTCAGGCTGAGCTGCAGGTCTGAAAGTAAAAGTTCTGGTTCTGAAACTTCCTGGGCTCGGACCACATCTCGCTGCTCCTCACTCAGTTTGAAAGTTTTAAGAATTAGCAAAGCTTCAGGATACTACAAAATAAAAGAAGGTTCCAGTAAACTCGAGAAGCTTTGGACGGGTGTTTTATTCTGAAAGGACTCAGGAACTGGGCCGAATTTTTCAAGTGATTCTGTCAGAACCAGTTTGAGCATCAAAGTCCAAACCTGAAGGTTCTGGTCCAACAGAAACCCAACTTCTCTGGAAGGAATGCATGTCGCCCGCTGCCTTCCTGCTGTCCATCAGCCCTCAGAGCGTCGGGGACGACTCTCAGCCACTACCACACGCCTCACTGCACATCTGACTGAGCTCAAACTCTGCTTGGGTTGGCTGTGGCGGCCATCTTGAGTCAGGTTGACTTTGATCCGTTGTGGATGTGGATCCAGTTCTTTCAAAAACGTCCTCTGGTTCATGAGATATTTTGCTAACAGACACGTTAATGTTTTCCAGGGATGGGTGATAAAAGTCCAGCTTTAACGCTCGTTTGCTTTTGTCTCCGGCTCTGGACTGTCCTCTGTTGGACATCAAATCTTTATTCGAGTTGACTAATTAAAAACTGATCAGCTCATTTTATTGATTTGAACAGATTCTTCTGCTCTTCCTGTAAATATGTTTTGGTTTAATAAAAATTAAAAGCTGTTTTACATGACGGACCAAACTGGAACAGAACCCAAACAGGGACTGGGAGTCTGACAGGTTCTGTTGGAGGTTCTGGAGGATACTCGGGTACCTGAGACCGGTTTGAGATTTCAGTACCTGCCAGTCAAAGTGGATGGGTTGGTTCTCCCAAAAGTAGGCGGAGCCACTGCACACCTTATTGGTTCTCCCAAACATAGGTGGAGCCACTACACACTAGGAATGCGCAATATATACGGTACATGGTAGGAACGATAGACATTTAGCCTATGATAGAAATCTGTATTCTACCAGCTAACCGCAGTAATGCTGTATCTGATGTGAAATCAGAGTTGTCCGTTTAATCGTTACTTTTTTAAGTTGAAAATTGTGTGTAAGTGGTGTTCAAGTGTAAAATCAGAGTTGTCCGTTTAATCGTTACTTTTTTAAGTTGAAAATTGTGTGTAAGTGGTGTTCAAGTGTAAAATCAGAGTTGTCAGATTTAATCGTTACTTTTTTGAGTTGAAAACTGCGCGCAAGTTGTGTTAGTCTTTTCTTCGAGAGCTAAGTAGCGAAGCTACAAGCTAACTACGGTCGGCTTGCCATAGTGTCCGGTATCGGTATCGGCCTCCGATACCAGCATAATTTACGTATCGGATTTTTCCGATTCACCCTGCAGAGATTTCTGATCCGTGATGCACGTTGGCTTCAAACTATGGAATGGATTTCCTGAACGGAGGTGTCTCATGAAACCCAGAGTAATAAGACCCGCCTCACATTCAGGAAATCCATTTCATAGTTTGCAGCCATCTACAACGTAAGGGCTGAGCAGAAGCACTGTGGCTAACCGCTAACCAACTTTTCATCTAAACATGTCCGCTGTGTGGAAGTATTTTACAATAGAAACACCGCAAAGCAAGACAGCATCGTGCAATGTCTGCAGAATCATAGCGCCACATTAAACCGTGGTAAAGTTAGCTTTACTTTGGACATTCGAGCTCCTTGTCTTCAGCGGAGCGATACTCTTGCTCAACTTGAAACAGGCAGCTCGACCCCGGCCAGCCGCGCTCCGTCTGCCCGTCTTCGAGGAGGGGTAGACTGAGCGCAGCTGGCCGAAATCAGACTGACTGAACAAGAAAAACACATCGCTGAAGCCACGGAGCACAACAGTAGACAATCATAAAAAAGCATACGATTTGAAAATTACAAGAAAATTATATATATTTTTAAAAAATGAAACAAAAACAGCTACATTATAAAGCGATGTAAAGTACTAAAAACTGTTGGTTTATGCCATGAACTTAGCAGATGTTTAAAGCCATTTAACATTTAATTTTATTTAATTCATTAATTTAAAAGAAACAAAATAAACAAAACAAATTCATCAAAAAGAAAACATTGAATGAAAAGAGTGCAGAAAGAAGAAAAAATTCTTATATCTGCCTCTTATTAAAAAAAACAACTTTAAACAATCACTTAAATTAATTACTTTAATATCCACTTTTAAGCTAGGAATAAAAAAAAACATGTTTTGTGTTAGCAGAATTTAATTCTAACTTTAAAACTTATCCAACATTAATAAAACTTACCTCAAGTTGCCTTTTTGGACATGCATTTGTGCAAACTGTACTTGAGAGGAGATTATTACAGCCTCATATAAAATCAATGATGATGATATCGGAACTGTGTTGGTATCTGTTGATATCCAGATTTTGGTATCGGGATCGGAAGTAAAAAAAAAAAAAAAGTGGATCGGCGCATCCCTAATTCGGACGCATGTGCAAAATGCTGTGTTCCGTCGAAAGTTTTTTTTTTTCCGTCGAAAGTTAAAGTGTTTGTCAGTTTTAGAGAAACCTGCTCTCTGATCTGTAAAAGAACGCTGTGTTGTGTGATTTTACTGCGAGACCCTCTGGTCAAAGCCACAGAGAAAACTGGTCGCCATTTTGTGTCAGCGCTCCTTAAGGTGGATGGAGACGCCCACTAGAGGTTTGGAGGTGTTTCAGTGTAAAATGCTGCTCTGTTGCTGTTCATTTCTTAAGTGTTAACAACATATTCTTTTGTTTAAAACGTATGGTTAAAACTACATTTGATATCTTTTGCACTGTTTTGCACTACAAGAAAGAAGCCTAATACTTGATTAGTTTATTATTTAAAAACTTTCTTTACCTAGTAGTGGAATTTTTTTAATTGAGATTATTTAGTGGTATAGCAGTTTTCAAAATAAATGATGGCAAAAGGACACCCTATGCTTTTTTTTTTTTCCATTCCTATTGCAAGTTTTATACCAAAAACGTGATATTTATCGTTATCACCACCCTTCACAATGCATATCGTGATATGAATTTAATGCCATATCGCACATCCCTACTACACACCTTGTTTTGATCAAGAGAAGAATCACCAACAGATGTCCTTACAGCTACAGTCGTCCTCTCTGAACTGCTCTGGAGTATTATGGACCTCAGAACCGCTAGAACGTTCTGATTGGCTCCTTGTGCTCACCTGTAAACCAATCATGGTTCCTCTCGAGTCATACGTCACCTGATTTCATCTGAGCGCGACTCCTGACTTCCTGTTTAAATGATGTCCCGTGGAGGATGTAGATTAAGACCCAGCTGCAGCTCATCTGGTGGTGCCAAAAATTAGGAAGTGATGGTACAGAGTACCTGTGAGTACTGATGTGTAACATGAGTACTGATGTGTAACATGAGTATCGATGAGTACCATGAGTATCAATGAGTACCATGAGTATCAATGAGTACCATGAGTATTGATGAGTACCATAAGTATC